CTTCAAATCGGCCTTTGAAGACGCCTACTCACGGCTAGGCGGCCGCGGAGAGCGGGTGCTTGGCCTCGCCTGGCTGGAGTTGCCCTCAAAGGACTTTCCACCGGAATTCGAATTTGACACCTCCGAAGAGCCGCCCAACTTTCCCCTGGCCGACTTCACCTTTGTCGGGCTGATCAGCATGGTCGACCCGCCGAAGCCGGGCGTCGGTGAGGCGGTTGGACGGTGTCGGCGGGCCGGGATCAAAGTGGTGATGGTCACCGGCGACCACCCCACCACGGCGGCGGCCATTGCCCGTCAGGTGGGCATCATCTCCTCAATTGAAACCAGCCAACCCGTTTCAAGTAGTTCAAACCATCACCATTCAGCCCAGTCCAATCCAGCTGAGAAGCTTCACCGGGTGATCACCGGCAGCGAGCTGACACGGCTTGGTGAGAAGGGCCTTGCCGAGGCGGTGGCCCGCCACGCCGAGCTCGTCTTTGCCCGTACCAGTCCCCAGCAGAAGCTGCTGATTGTGGAGGCGTTTCAGCGGCGCGGCGAGGTGGTGGCCGTCACCGGCGACGGCGTCAACGACTCGCCGGCGTTGAAAGCGGCCAACATCGGCATCAGCATGGGCATCACCGGTTCGGAGGTGTCCCGGCAAACGGCCGATCTCGTCCTGCTGGACGACAACTTTGCCTCCATCGTCGAGGGCATCGAAGAGGGGCGGCTCATATTTGACAATCTGAAGAAGTCCATCGGCTACACGCTGACGAGCAACATTCCCGAGATGGTGCCCTTTGTGCTCTTTGTGCTGGTGGGCATTCCATTGCCGCTCGGAACGATTACCATCTGTAAGACCATTTTGTTTGATTGGTTTTTAAAGTTTTCTAACTTTGTTTTTTGTTTTCTCTATCAGTGTGCATCGACGTGGGCACTGACATTCTGCCGGCCATCAGCCTCGCCTACGAGCCGCCCGAGGCGGATCTGATGCAGCGTCCACCTCGGTCCCCCTCAGAGCACCTCGTCACCCTGCCGCTGATAACGATGGCCTACCTGAAGATTGGCGTCCTGCAGATGACCGCCGGCCTGCTCGCCTACATCGCCATCATGGCGCAGCACGGCTTTTTCTGGCGGACGCTGGTCGGCAGTCGCCAGAGTGGCTGGCTCAGCGTTCACCTCGAAGACATGACCGACGATTATGGACAGCAGTGGGTAAGAAGATGGAAAGCGGAGGGGGGAAATGATTTAATGACCTTACCTAATTTGTTATTTCCCCCCCCCTAGAGCTACGCCGCCCGGCGCCGACTGGAGCACACC